CTTTAATTTCGGTAAAGGCCTGGAGCTGCGCCTCGCCGAAGCTGTTAATCGTGCCAGGTTTGTGGCTTGGGCTGGCAAGCGACCATTGTTTCTCATGATCTGGCGCCCGATGGCAAGGGTCTCAGATGCAGGAATTGCAACCGAGCGGGGTTTTCGGAGGAGACGATCCGCGGTCTGCTGACCCGCCCCTGTCGGCCTTCCACCCTGCTCCGTGTTCGAGCTGCGGCCCTTTTGGCGGTGCACAGCCCATCCAGAGCCGAGGAGAATCCTGCTCCCCCCTCGGCTCAGTCGGCCCTTGCCCTGGGTCTGGCGGCCGCGGCAGCTTGTGCTGCGACGGCGCGTCGCGACGACTCCAGCGCTTCGCAGGGCCGGCCTGAGCGAGGGCGTGAAGATAGCAGGTCTCCCCCACGCGAGGCGCGTGCTGCCCCTGCTGTGCACTCGGCCACGGCGAGAGATGGAGGCGGTGGAGGCCCGTCGTCGTCGTCGTCGGAGAGGCGGGGGATGGATTCGACCGAGGAGCGACGAGCCGCGCTCATGGCTCGCCTCCTGCGGGAGGCGCACCTGCTGCTCCTGCCTCTGTCGCCTCGCCCCCTCCTCCTGCGCCCCCCTCGGGAGGATTGCTGGAGGCCCCCCTGGAGGAGCAGGATGCGGGAGGGAGTCGGGTGGGCGACTCGACGAGCGAGGGGGCTAGGAGGGCGGGGGATCGTGCGATGCGAGCTCGTGCGATGCGCCCTGCCGCTGGCCCCTCGCCGTTGACGGCGCCTGGAGCGGCGCAGCCTGGGCCCGCTGCCCCCGCTGCCCTGCGGATGCAGGGCCAGGACTCCCGTGCTGCCGCCGCTGCTGCAACCGCCGTGGGGGCGGGAGGTCGGGGGGAGCGCGATGAGGAGGTCTCGCGTGAGCTCGGACACGAGATCCTCCAGCGACCGCCTTTCACGGTTTGTCAGAGATGTGGAGCGTATGCCAAGCGGCAGGGGCGGCTGTTGGGGGCACCCTGCCTTGGCGCCCTCCCCGCCCCTGAACTGCGTGTCACCCCCGCGGAGCGGGAACGGGCCAAAGCGCCGTGACCGCCTGGTGGCGAAGCTCCACCCTGGGACGGGGGCCCCCCTCGCTCCTGGTCGGGGTTAGGCCCCAGGTCCCTTCTGGTCTCTGGTGTGGCCCTGCAGGCTGTGCCTGCCCTCTTGGCGCGGTCTGGAGACCGCTTCCGCGCTCTGGAACTTTTTGGGTTTCTAGAGTTGCCCTGCAGGCTCGGCCTGCCCTTGCTCGCGGTCTGGGGACCGTGAACTGCGCTCTGGAGCCTTGAGGGGCCCCAAGAGCCCTCGGCCCTAGTGGCCCGTCACAAGCACAGGGCTGTGTTCGACCACGGACGCGGTCTCTTTGATGAGCGACACACACAAACACAAACACGCCCACGCCCACGCACACGCACACGCACACGCACACGCACACGCACACGCACACGCACACGCACACGCACACGCACACGCACACGCACACGCACACGCACACGCACACGCACACGCACACGCACACGAACACTCACACGCACACGCACACGCACACGCACACGCAACACGCAACACGCACACGCACACGCACACGCACACGCACACGCACACGCACACGCACACGCACACACGCACACACGCACACACGCACACACGCACACGCACACACGCACACGCACACACACGCACACACGCACACACGCACACACGCACACACGCACACACGCACACACGCACACACGCACACACGCACACACACGCACACACGCACACACGCACACACGCACACACACACACGCACACACGCACACACGCACACACGCACACACGCACACACGAACACACATACACACACACACACACACACACGCACACACGCACACGCACACGCACACGCACTTGCTCACGCACACGCGCACACGCGCACACGCGCACACGCGCACAACGCGCACAACGCCCACAACGCCCACACGCGCACGCGCTTTTTGCGTCGGCGGCTAGGCAGAGTGACTGCTCTGGCGATGTCGCAGTATTGGGGCACACAAAACGCGAATTAAGCCGCACTGCATGGGGGAGGAAGGAGGAAGCCCGGCGCTGGCAGAACGAGACGGGAAGCCAGGCCCGCTCAGAGCGGGGCCAGGCGGCGGCGTGGCAGCGCCGGGGGATGGGGCCAGCGGCGGCGAAGCAGCTGGGGGGGGGCGGACCAGGCGGCAGCGAGAAGCGGCGCCAGGGGGGGGCAGTGCCCATCACGAGCTGGGAGCGGAGGCAGCGAGCAGCGGAGGTCCAGGGTGCCGAGGTCGCATGTGACCTGCGAGGCGCCTGGGGACACGGACAGGGACGCGGTCACCACCAGGGCCGGCGAAAGGATAGCGACGGGCAGCGGGCCCACCAGCCAGGGAGCGGCGGGCGACGCCCGAGGTGCAAGGCACACACGCACGCTCGCACACACGCACACACGCACACACGCCCACACACAGACACACGCGCACGCACGCACGCACGCACGCACGCACGCACGCACGCACGCACGCACGCACGCACGCACGCACGCACGCATACACACACCTATGTAGTCCTCACCCCGGCTGCACCGCCCCCGAGGGGGAGACATGATATCAATGACGCGCCGCCGCCGGGAGCCCGTCGCCGTGCCGCTCCTTCTCTCTCGGACCGGGGGCCGGGTGCTTCCTCAGCAGTGCAGTGGAAACCAATGCCAAGAAGCACCCTGCTTGCCTCCAGGGTGCCCTGGGCCTCTTGTGTTTCGATTCATGGTTTCGCTACGGAGCGCGCGACGCTCCCGCGTCAAAAGACAGTAGACATCCTGGGGTTTCAGGGTTGGGTCTCTTGTGGACGGTCTCTTGTGGTCGAGCTCCTGCTGTTGCTCGCGGCGGCCGATGGTGCCCCCCAGGACGAGGCGTGCAGGAGCGGAGGCCTGTGGAACGGTCTCAGGGTGAGCGGGATGTCAGGCGTCATCTTCCTCCTCCTCCTCCTCCGCCTTCCTCCTACCCCTCCTCCTTCTCCTCTTCCTACCCCTCCTGCTCCTCCTCCTCCTCCTCCGCCTCCTCCTCCTCCTCCTCCTCCTCCTCCTCCTCCTCCTCCTCCTCCCTCTTTGCTTGCGGCTGGGGTCCTCCCCCTAAGTAGGATATCAGGCGTGGGCGATTGCACTCTTCGGATGGGCTCGCTCTAAGCAGGAGGTGCCATTCCGCTGCGACAGCACACTGCAGAAGGGAGGCGAGGAGCGATCAGGGCGGGCAGGAAACGAGGGGGGGGGTCGCAGGACGAGGAGGTAGAGAGACAACAGAGATCGTAAATCATGAGCGAAGATACCATCGCACTCACGAGGGAGCGGCCAGATGGGAGGGAGGAGCAGGAGGTGGCGGATGATGAGCGGGAGGAGGACAACACCGAGGCAAATAAATGCTCCAACCCACAGACGCCTGGAGGCCCTCGCTTCTTGTCAGAGCTGGGCAGGCGTTTGAGCCTCGCCAGGCAACCCGAGGGGCCCCACCGACTGGTGGAAGAAAGGATGGGTGCCCCCAGGAGTTTTTCGCGAGGCGCTCGTGGGGATCTCGTGGGTGTCTACTGCGTGTGCAGGAGGACGACAACGACCAGGGAGGAGGGACGAACGAGGGACCGGCCAGGGGGAGGAGGAAGAGGAGGAAGGAGGAGGAGGAGGAGGCAGGAGGAGCAGGAGGAAGAGGTGAAGGAGGAGGAGGAGGAGAAGGAGGAAGAGGAGGCGGAGGACGACAACGACGGGGGGGGGAGGGATGAGAGAGCAGATCAGGAGAGAGGAAGGAGGGTAAACGGGAGGCAGGAAAGCGGTCGGGCTCGCCACTGCTGCAGTCCGCGCGCTGTCTTGCTGAAGGCTCCCACCCCGGGAGCCAAGGGGGCTCCTCCTCCTCCTCCTCCTCCTCCTGCTCCTCCTCCTCCTCCTCTTCGTCCTCCTCGTCCTCGTCCTCGTCCTCCTCCTCAGCGAAGGGAAACCCGGACCTCAGTCCCAGGCGGCCCAACCCACAGAAACGAGAGGGCAGTGGACGGCGCGAAGCGCTGGAAACGACAGCGTAGAAAGCGAGGAAAATTGGCAGCAGGCCCACGAAGGGTGCGAAAGAGAAGTGCAACCATCGAACATGCAGCCGGTTAGTCACACCATCTGGAGAGAGCACCAGTGGAGGATCATAGCTTTGTTTGTGCACAATGAGCCGGTAGCCGCGCATACATACGAGGGCCCACGACCGCAAACCAGCAGCACGATAAGTAGCGCCAGATAGTGGACAGCCCTAACCTGGGACATGTCAGTATTGCAATCTGCAAGATTGCAATCAGCAGGTAGCTGGCAACTCGTCTGTGCGCAAAACACAATCTGCACGTACGGACGAGCAGGCTCACGAGAACGCACTCGCTGTGCTGCCACTACGCTGGCCGCAGCACACAGCACCTTGTGCGTACAAAGTGCCCTCTAACTCTAAGCCCAATGTGAATGTTACGGAGTCGGTGCGCCAGCGATTCTGTGAGGCAAGTGGAGTCAGGGCCATGCCATAGCCACCACCCAATTGAGCCCAATATAAATGTCACGGGGTCGGTGTGCCAGCGATTCTGTGAAGCAGGTGTGGTCAGTGCCATGCCACCACGTAGGCTTAGGTATCTCAGAGATCATTCGAGGCTGCTGCATTCTGCGCTCGGCGTCACCCCAACATACTAATACTATGTGCCCCACAGGGGCGACGCGCGCACCGAGATGTCGTCTTGTAGTGTATGCGTCGTGGCGGGTGCTTTCTGGCCGTACCGCTCAGGAAACGATACACTCCAAGATGGCTGTACTACGTAATCGGGTCGGACGCACGCCTCCGAGGAGGACACATAGTACTAGTATGTCCTTGTGCGTCCCATGCGCCTCCAGAAAGGCACACTACTTTTTTGCTGTGATCGCCCCGATATCGTTCCCCTCTTCCCTCTGCTCCCCCTCTTCCACGTCCTCTCCCTGCATGCCTTGCCGAGGCCCCGACAAGCCCGACGGATTGGCGGTGTTCAAGCTCAAGAGGACTCGTCGAGCTGTCTCTTCTGTCTTGCCGCGCGCCTTGCCCTGGCTGGAGGGAAGGACCCCAGAGGGGCCCTGGGCAGTGTCTGTCCAAATTGCCGTGAAGGGGATCGGATTGGGTGGATGATGATGATGAGGAGGAGGAGGAGGACGAGGATGAGGAGGATGAGGATGAGGATGGCGATGGCGATGGCGATGGCGATGGTGATGATGATGATGGTGATGATGATGGTGATGATGGTGATTATGGTAGTGATGATGACGATGCTGATGCCGCTGCTGCTGCTGCTGCTGATGATGATGATGATGATGATGTTGCTGATGCTGATGGTGGTGATGATGGTGATGATTATGGTGGTGGTGATGATGATGATGCAACTGTTGTTGATGATGACGATGATGATGATGATGGTGATGATGATGGCGACGACGATGATGATGGTGACGATTATGCTGATGATGTTGATGTTGATGTGGAAGAGGACGACGAGGATGAGGATGAGGATGAGGCTGAGGATGGCGATGGCGATGGCGATGGCGATGGCGATAGTGATGATGGTGGTGATGATGATGACGGTGATGATGGTGATTATGGTGATGATGGTGATGATGGTGATGATGATGATGATGGTGATGATGGTGATGATGGTGATGATGGTGATGATGTTGCTGATGCTGATGGTGGTGATGATGGTGATGATTATGGTGGTGGTGATGATGATGCAACTGTTGTTGACGATACTGATGATGATGAAGATGATGATGATGATGATGATGATGATGATGATGATGATGCTGATGCTGATGCTGATGCTGCTGATGATGATGATGATGATGATGATGATGATGATGGATATGCTGATTATGGTGATGATGCTG